ATTCCAGTAGCAATATGTACTTTCATGCATGCAGTTAAAATATACATTCCATATATAAATGTCGACGTCATGCAATGCTTGAAGTTCCTGCAATCTCACGCAGCATTCCCTGCTGTTTATTGCAGTACGGTAAAGGAAACTTTGTGACATTCTCATCATCGATCGGGATAGTTTTTGTTCAACTTCCACACAGATACACCGCTAATATATCTGGCATTTTAACTTTCACGAATGAACGTCACGCAAAATGTTAACCAGTCAGAGACTCTTTTAGAATGAGGACGATGATTCACGTCTCACTCATTCCCCAAGTCTCGCGATAAACGACACAATGATGGGGACATCTTCCAAGCCAGTTCATAGATACACCGATGATTTATACAGATTATACATTGCATCGATAAACCATTTAATTGATTAAAATTACAAAAGCAAATTGATTTGCAGCGTGATTTTAGTGGGAACAAATTTGAGAGTAAAACTATTTCAGAAAAAATAACTCCATCTTTCAGATATTACGTCTGGGTCTGGCAATGTTCTGACGTCATCGTCATTATCGTCTGCTAAAATGAAAGCGCTCAAAGTTGACCCAAGCTCTGAAGATTTTGATTATGTAGACACAGAACCATCACCAGAAGAATTGGAAGAGGAGGATAGAAAGGTAAATAAACACGTCAAACACACAGGTCTAGAGTAAGTTACAATTTTCACAACATGCGCAATGTCACTATTCAAATTTTAAATCTAATGAATTCGTCCTGTTCATTTTTGAATGGGGAATTGATTCTATGCGAGATAGTGCGTAAGCCGGAAACGAGGTCAATATTCAGCATTGAGTTAAACTCTCACAGGTTCACCCGTAAGCTTCGATGATTTCGGTGATCCGTTTAGGTCAAGGCAGAATTCTTGATGTCGTCAAATCCAGCTGATAGATAAGGTTTGCTCTGACTGGCTGGACGAGAAAATATTTGAAGTTCTTTATTTCAATGAACCACTAAGGTCATCAAATTCACTAAGTAAATAAGTCGTTTTTTTAGGCGATTGCTGAAAAAAAAACAATTATAAGAAACACTTCGAGAATCTTTGCTAACTGCTGGTAATACAATATGTCGACGTATTTATAACTGTATAGACAGTCTACTTTTGACATAGACAAGTTACCAAAAAAGAAAAAGATTATTGTAAACTACATCATATTCGTGTTCATCATACTCGATCTACAAACGGTCAATAATAACAATGTCATTAAGGGTTCCATACGACGCTTAGCCACACGCATCGAACATACGATGCCGCGACGACAGAAGCCCTTAATATCCACACAATTCCTCTATATCAACTAATGGATATTACAACGTTTATATTGTTGTCGCGCATCGAATGGGGGAGAACTACTAGTACCCGACAGCAGCGAAGCACAGTGATAATAACAAATGACTAGAACAGCGCTAGCGTGGGCTTGTATAATTCTTATGCTTTGATATGAATAAGTGTATACAAATAACCTTATAGGAGGCAGTGCTTGCTTCATACAGATATGTGACAACAATATAAATGTTTAAGTGTCCATATACTATCTTCTATCATAAGTAACAGAAACGTCATAAGATTGTTGACTGAATATTTTTGCTATATATACACAGAGCCAAGAGGTGGCTAACGATGTAATGGAAGCTACAAAGGCTACAGCAGGAGCAGTACTGAAGAATAAACCACCTGGTTCTAAACCTATCACCCTGGATACACCATCCATGAAGATGTCATTACAGCGAGAAAGTCCGGCAAGTCTGGGTGGAAAGAAAATGCAATCTGGTGGCGCTTCATTCAAACTACCGAGCGGCTCCTCCATGGTTGGTGGAAACTCCGACTCAGATGACGAAGACGATGCCGTTAGTATAGCGGTATGTATACGACACATTCACCGGGAGAGGGCGATAGAAGCAGCATTATCTCTAGGCGTAGAGAGCTACGCATGCTCATAAGCTACTATATCGCAATGCTCCCTGTCGAGTAGACTGGTAAAGCTAGACAGTCGGGCGCTTACTTGTTTTTGTAGTTTGTGATACAATCAGTGTTAAAGCGTCATGGGAGTGGGTTGTATGGAACAGTGCACACCTATGTCAATATCTTGAGAAGGATGTAAACTAAATTTGGTATATTAAGAACTAACTGTCTGATAAATGAAATAGAATTAATGCAGAATTAAGATAAACTAAATATAAACTGCGCCAATGTAATAACAAATATTTCAATGTTCCTTTTTTACTTTACCTTTTTAAAAGCAGTTCTTTTGTGTAAACTGTCTGTTTCTCTGCACCAATTGATTTCAAATTAGTTACCTTATCACTAACCACACATCTCTACATTGCAGACTTCGGAGCTGGCGCACAATCCATTCCCCTGGGCGAAATCGGGTACCAAATCTGCGGTGATGTCGCTAGAATTGACTGGTAGCGATGGTAAGCCGATTCAAGTGTCTGGTCTCCAGGAGGAAATAGTAATCGAACAGTTGAACCAGAAGCCAGTTGTCGCCGAAATTCTACAACCGGAATTGGGTGTTGTCAGCGAAATGTACTATAGAAATGTGACAGTATGTATACAATATATTTGATAATTGAATTTCTGCTAATATATTATTTTAAAAAATATAGGAAACCTTACGTTCATGTATCCGGTGTGGAGGATAAGTGTATTCCATAAATGGATTCACCACTAATATATCCAAGACGCAGATCTCGTTGAGAACGAGAGAGCACGAGACTCGTGTATTCCCTTCACATTCCCGCTACTAGCAGTCATTTGTGTCCAATCTCTAAAGGCCGTCGCACTGTGACGTCAAAATTTTATAGTTTTTGCCAACCAGCTTTCGATCGCGAATGTCTAATAACAAATATCATTCACTGATCAACACGAGGACGCAATCTTGCGTAACAACGTTGTCCGTGAGAGCCACACTGCATGCATATTTATTCGATAACAACAGCCGCGTAAATACCACTATATAATTTTCGGGTGCGAATGACTAGTTCTTGCCAACCAGTAACTGCATATGCGCACTCGCGCAGAACGTAGATGCTGTGCGACGGCCTAAGGACGACGTCAAAAGATCGATGTCGGATAAAAAACTTAATTCCTTTAGTTTTTTTCCAACCCCCCTACCCCCCCCCCCACTGAAACTTAATTGATAAATATTGGTCATAGGCGTTAGACTACATTCACCATTAAATACAAATTGATAATTGGACA